CCCCTGCCAGCCCTTATTATAGACAAGCCATTGTCACCATGGCAACCTCAGATCCAGTGCAGCCTGTCTGTGTGCTTTGACTCAAAATCAGTCTCCAGAATCGGAGTTTGTGTTCTGTCTAAATGATGCGGACCATTTTAAATTGCCTCTGATGAATGTTTTTGTTTGGCTTTTCTAGGTCCCTGGAATTAACCTCTATGCTATCAGCAGGAGTTGTTCTGCCAGCATCTTCAAAGAGCAATTTTCAAAAAGTGGCGTTTGGAAAATGAGGGTCAGCATCAAGCCCATTTGGAAGCTAACTAAGCGACCGAAAGAGTAAATGTTTTCTTGACATGTAATGCTTCTAAAATAAAGGAGTTGCCCAATACCAGGTCTCTGCCTTCTGAGTGGTAAACACAGGTATCTGAAAGAAAATCTCAAACTTAGTCGCTCCTGCTCTCAAGGCTAGTTAGTTTTTTTCTGTGTTTTCTAACACATTTGATCAGATGAAAATGTCTTCATCCAGTCAGAAAAGCTGAAGAGAAGTTACTCGTCTTCCCCTTAGCAGCACTATGTACTGCAGTCCTTGAAATCGCAAGCTGTTGCTGCAGGATGGGCGAGTGTAAGGCGCCCCTGCTCCTGCAGCTGTGAATAATTGAGAGAACGCTACAGAGAGGGAAGGCTGCTCCTCCACTCTGTGCCTTCTGTGAACCCGCCGGTGCAAGACAATGGATTCCTTGACAGAGATGAAGAGGCTCAGGGCTTTTGTAAGGACAAGTGGAAAGAGCTACTGTGGTTATCTTTACCATACCAGCTGGGGCGAGTCGGGGAAAAGCGTTCTTTAAAGGGGCCAGATCATACAGCTGGTGGATAACAGGTTTTCGCATTTCTTGACATTAATTAAATCACTAAAAAACAATAGATGACTGTAACACAGTATTTTTTTTAGAGCCAGACAATTACAATACATGATGGAGTAAAATGTAAAAAGTAGCAGAGAAGTGTAAAGTGTGTCAACAGTGATAAACTGAACTAATATATTTATATCTTCATTTAGACATGAAGATTTTTCTTCATGAATTGAATTCAGATATGACGTCTTTGCAGTATTTCCGATGATTTTTTAAAATACCCTTGATTTATCTGTAGGATGTCTTTAAAAGCAGTGGCTTAACTCCTAAATATTTTAATTTTGATTACCACATTATACAAAAGGAAGCTTCAGTTTTAGCAAGGAAAAATCTAAATTTAACTCGATTTTAAATTCTTTCCTGAAGCCCCCAAAATATGTATATATTGAATGCTGTACAACTCCACTTATAGCAAAGGCCAATGGGGCACCTTGGTTTGCATTGTCCACTGGAGAACAACAGACAAACACATGCATGGTTACATGGGCTTCGTTGTAATCCAAGTCCCAACAGTAAATGTCTACTTTGTGAGTGTATTATTTATTTTATGATGCATTCTGATCATGCACTTCATTTGTAGGTGTACAGGTGTAAACCTTTACTTTCTATTGCACTTTCAGGTGTACACTGAAGTCAGTTTCCCATGGGATGTTGAGGATAGCTGGCAAGAAATGCCAACACAAACCTTAACCCTGACCCTCTTCTGAAAACTGTCAAAAGACTCAAAGTAGCCCATAATCTATTTCATGTCCCTAAGATGTCTGGCAGATGCCAGCAGCTATATCGCCCTGAAATTAGCAACTGGCAACACGCTAAGCAGGTGGGAGCCTGGCCAGCACCTAGATGGGAGACGGTTGCCACGGTTGCTGCTGGAAGAGATGTCAGTGAGATCAGTAGTGGGTGCTCACCCGGCTGTCTGTTCGGGTGCTAATGCCTCAGTATAGTGATGGGGACACTATACTGTGAAAAGGGGCGCCGTCCTTCGGATGAGACCTTAAATCAAGGTCATGGCTCTCAGTAGTCATTAAAAATCCCAGAGGCATTTCTTGAGAAGAGTAGGGGTGTTAACCCCAGTGTTGTGGCCAAATTCCCCCCTGGGATTTAGCAATCATGGCCTCCTAATAATCCCTATCTATGAACTGGCTGAGAGCTGGCGTGTGGGGAACGCACTGGAGCACTTCGTCTTCCGTCCAGGTGGGGCCGCACACTGGTGGTGGTGGAGGGGATCCCCATGACCTGTAAAGCACTTTGAGTGGAGTGTCCAGAAAAGCCCTACTGTATATAAGTGGAAGGATGATTATTATTACTCAACTCAACAACCAAAACAGAACCCTAACAATATCCTACTTGAAATAGAGTTCTAATGATAGTTTGGGAGGGATGAGGGCAGCCAGACTGATTAAGCTCAGCTGCCACAACCTACAACTAATCCCGATTTAAATCCTCAGATTCTCATATACTGTATATATCATGCATGACCCTCTCCTTTTCCTCGCTCATTTTTAATCTCTCTGCCACCCATCTCCACTTTGGCAGCTGCCCCTTGGTTACCCTTTCACGAGGCATGGAGGTCCTAGCTGTCCTCGCTCCTTGTGAAACTGTGATTGGAATAATTAGCCGTATTGTAAAACATGTCTGAGCTGCGTTTGTGTAGCTTTTCTGCCTGTTTTCAGTCTCCTCTAATCTCGTTAAGGAATGCTGGCTAAAACTGATGGAATTGTCCCCTTTCCTGTGCCCCTATGATAGACTGTCATGTCCTCCAGGAGAAGGTCACCACCTCAAGCCTCTTCCTTTAAGTAAAACCTAGTCCATCTCCATAACCAAAAACTATCATGATAAACTTTGGTTTTCATGTAGAGATACTTATGTGTGTAATAGAGAAATTAGAAGGTAATAATTCAATGCTGGCAGGAGGCACTTCTAATAAATACAGAGATTTTACTATTACACAGGTATTAGCTCCAACTCAAGACACCCCCAAGCAAGATCATTTCTTCAACAGAACTGAGCAGTTCCATCATTTAAGTAGTTGTGCTTCTTCTACGGAATTTTTGTTATTTTGGTTGAAAATGTTTGGAAGATTTTCAATTTTAAAAAAAAACAGCCGTGGACTAAGAGCAATTTTGTCTTTCTGCCTTGGGAAAAGACCTGTAAGACTAAGGATAAATCTAATCACAGCATGGTATTTTTTTCTGTCATTTCCTATCCCACAGTTGTCTCACTGTGTGCTTTTGACATTATTGATAGCCCCTATTCTTGTCTGTGTTTCAACATAGACCCCAAACATTTCAATATAATTTATAATAGTACATACAGTACAGTATGCTGTATTGAAATCTAAGAACTTGATGTTTGTTTGCTTTTTTAACCTACCATTTTATCTATCCTTCTATTTATAGCTGTTTGTCTAAGCAGTCCATACTTAAATGCAAGCAGACAGGCAACAGTCCCACCCTTGACAGGACCCAAGACACTCATTACCACGAGTAAATGCCCAGAACCTGGGAGGCACATTTAAAGAGGCCAGTCACATACTATATGTCTGTTAGGCTGGGGACCAGCTCAGTTGACGTGTAATGGACCCTATGCAGGTAACAAGGATCAAGATAAATCAGCAAGCCATAAAATTAGGAAAATCTGGGGTCGAGGTCTATAAACTAGCAAAAGGTCCAAAAACCAGGAGAGAGATTAAGCATAAAACTCCAAAGACAAGATCCAGAAATCGAGGTCAAAAGGCAGGCCAAAATCCAAAAATCCAACAAGAAGTCCAGGGAGAATATAGCTGAGGATGAGATGTGGAGCTCACAAGGGTTGTAACCAATACTGAGCAAAGTTAGGACTGAGAGCAGGGTTTCAGTAGGCTTGAGGAGGGGAGGCAGTTTGATGTGAAAATAGGCAGATTGGTTAATGATGTCTGGTTGATCTACACCTCCTCTGAGTGGAAGAGGTAGGCACCAGAGGTTTAGGTGCCCTCTGGTGGCAGGATGCTGGGACTGTAACAATGTCTAAATGAGATGAGTGGAAACTGGGATACCTAGAAAAAATACATCATGAATACAGAACTCTTCACAAAGGCCCTATAACAGACTAACACTGCACCCTGTAACTTTGAGGTTCAGCAGAACTAACCACCATATTACCCTGCCACCCATATCTCCTTGTAGGTACATACAGTAAATGACACATCATTTCATAACAATCTAACCAAACAGTTCCAACTCTATTCATGCTTCTGGTAGCAATTGAAATGACACAATTGAGAGCGTTTACCCAATGGAATGGGCTTTCTTCACAATTTTAACATGACTCAGTTTTGGAATTCACTTCTTTAATATGCAATATAATCAAACAGCCGAATCTCACTGGAACAAAAGGAAGATAGAAGGAAATAACTAATGTTTCTAAATTTCACCTGGGACCCAAAATACAGCCCTGAGGTTAAAACATGTCTTAACTACTGCCCCAGCTAAACCTAAACCTAGCTGGGGCACAAATTGAGCAATTCTGCAATCAGTCCTGGAAGCCTTCCATTTATCAGCCTAAAACAATCAAAATCATTAAAAAAAAAACTCTTGGAAACGTATCCTCTTCAATAATGCATGTTTTAGGCAAATATTCAATCAGCTGAAATGTGGTGTAAAAATGGTATTGAAGTGAGGGTTTATTACAGGTCTTTTGTAGTGGACGGCTTCCTCTGCGTTGTGTCAAATGAACACCCAGGGACACCAGGTAGAGGTCTGCGATTTTATTTCCTTAAAGAACATAAAACACGTGGGCGTTACACACGCTAAATGTCTCTCTCTCTCCCGATTGGCGTTCACAATGCGTCTGAGAAATCACCTTATAATCATATTGTAACGCAACGGGGTTCTGGCAGGCGCCCTAGCCGCATTAGGTCGGCCCCGCACTGTCGGGGGGCTCGAACCCAGGACTCCCACGTCACTCAGCAGGGACCCAGCCCGGTGAGCCAAAGAGAGATCTCGCTACAGCCCAGGGGCTGTGGTCCTGCTATCACAGGGAAGGGCGGCGACGTCACCGTTCTGGTAAGCCGGCTCTTACACACCCTGATGGCCGTATGCGTTACAATATTATATAAAATAACAATAATAATAATAATAATAATAATAATAATATCTAGAATGATATATAATATACTTTCCACGGGTAGGGTTACAAGAACCATTCAATCTTGACTCAAGTTACACATGTACTGTAGTTGCATGGTAAATGAGAAAATTAAGAGATTTTACCTATTAAAGTAGGTCTTCTTAAAACTCTTTATGTGACTCATTTTCAGAGCACAACTACCGAAAAGTGCAGTACACACCATAAGCAGCCAGAAGTCTCTGAAAAAAATGTTTAAGACAGGAGCAAATTACCACTCATCCGAGAGTTCACTTGGCACCCAAAATCCAGTGTAAAGAAAGACTCAGTAGTTTTGGTAGTGTTGTAGCAGAGAAGTGAGCCAAGTCCGAAAATCATAAACCGAAGTCAAGCCAAAAGTTCAAAAGCCAAAATACAAATGAGAGCTGTAAACACACGGCAAAAGTCGTAAACCAAAAGTGCGCATACGCAGAAAGTCCGAAAGTCGAAAGATTGAACTCCAATAACGAGATCGGGGAGAACAGCAGTAAGTAACCAGAAACCAAAAACACAAATAAAGAGCGCCGAGTACCAGGAGTAAATCTGTCACAGTACTGAGAAGCTAATGAGATCTTCCTGACCGGGGTGTGGAAATGACAGGGAAAAGGTTAGTTAAGTGTTCCGGAGACATCTACCCTTTCTTAAAGGGATAGTGCGTGATGTAACATTACCACTCCCCCCGGCTCCGGAAAATCCCAAATCTTGTTGACTGTCCCAGAGAGTTTACGGGGGGGAAAAATGAGATAGGTGAAAAATATCACTCGTCATAACCCTGATTTGGGCCCCAAAATCCAGCGCTTGAGCTTAACAATTATCTAAATACTGCGTGAATGCTAACCGTAACTGGAGTGTCAAATCAACTTTTCTAGGATCAATATCTGAACGTCTCTGGGCATCGGATTTTGACATGTTCCCCAAACCAAAAAGTATGAGTTGGAAACAATCAAAACCGTTGATCAAAGCTCTTGCAAATGAATTAGATTCAATAATGCTTGGTTACTACTTTTGATCCGACCGACCCAGTTTTGGGATGCAATTCTACAGTTGCTGCTAGATTTTGGATGCCACATGATCTTCCGGATGACTGGTAATTTGGTGCTACCTTAAGCTTTTTTTTTGGAGACGTTTGGCTGTATTTCATCATTTGGTAGCTGTGCTCCTGCAGTGAGTCAAGTGAAAATTGTTAAGAAAATTGGTTTTACTGGGTGAAATCTCTTAATTTTACAAAAATTTAAGATACAAGCAAATTATCTCTCATCCTAAAGTTGACTGGGGATCCAAATCCAGAAATGAAGCTGAGACAATCAAAGTCATTCATAAACATTCCTGTAAATTTGTCTTTGTCAATCTTGTATCTTCTATAGGCCAACTTGTAATCAGTTGAAAAACAGTGTTATCACAGTATTTAACAGAGCATACCTTTCAGGCCAGTCTAGGGTCAGGGTTACAAAAACCATCCAAATTTGACTCAAATTATAATTCTGGTTTCACTTGAAATTACAAAATTGAGAGAGTTTACCCAATGGATTGTGTCTTCCTCATAAATTCTGTCTCAGTTTTGGAATACACTTCATGTATTGTGCTATATCATTAAAGCAACCAAATCTATCAGAGAAAAATTAAAGATGGGAGAAAAGTATCACTCTTAAAGTTACCCTAGCTGGGGATTAAATTGAGCAATTCTGCAACCTGTCTCTAAAGCCCTCCATTCATCAGATTTGAAAATGTTCCTCAATACAAATATACTGTATGAACCTGAAACAATCAAATCCATTCATAGGCACTTCAATGAACTTGCATGCCTCAATAATGTATCTTCTACAGGTAGTTTTTTAATCATCTGGAAAATGCTATTAACATGGTATTTAAATGAACATACTGTACATTCCAGGCCAGGCTAGGGTTAGGGTTACAAGACTCATTCAATTTTGATGGAATTTACATGTACTGTGGGTACATACAATATACAGTATACAAAAAGCCATTGTTATGCTACACATTTTATGTTTCAGAAATAGCAATTTGTGTTTTACAGCAAATGTGAATGACAGCTTGGTTTTATAATTAGTTACACGAAAACAATTGTTAAAATGTAGCATTTTTGGAGCACAAGAAACACCTATTCACATTCACCAGGTTTCTGTAAATCAAATATATTCTCCTAATAGAAAATGAAATATGATAGTATGCCAAATAAAAATGTCACACAGAGTGTCATGCACACTAAATTTATATTGTAAAATGCAGCTGGCAGGTTTGTACTTAGGTGCCATACAAGAACATACAATTTTGAATTATACAGACAATTGAATGTCTAATCCCCATCAATCTTTCATGTATCCAATCACTAGCACTTTTTATAATTAATTAAAACCGGATCTATACAAGGAGCTGTATTATAAAAAAAATATTTGCAAAGTCTAGTTAGGGGTTGCCCTTTGAAACAGGGAGCTGTTTCCACAGTCATGAGTAATGTGTCTATTACTGTCTTAAGTCAGAGAAGTTCGTAGGAAATTTCTCAGAGTCCCTATTACGACAAAGTGAGCAGGGACCAGTAGGTTATGTTTGGAAATTCCATTCTTGATAATCCTGAGATATAGTGGCCTGTTTCTAATATTTACTTATTTCTGTTTGAGAAGAGCATTTACCTGCCATTTTTTACTTGTGCTGCAATTTGTTTTAGCTATATTAAAAAATCTGGTTTGTACAGTATTCTGATGCAGATAAGTACAGTACAGTATGTTAAGTATAGAAAATGAAATAAAGTCATCATAGCTTCTTCAATTAAAAAAAAGCCTGATTATAGCAGAGTGGTCTGAAGGAGGCATCTAATCTGTCTTTATTTCAGAACGCTAAATTGTCCACTTATTATTATTTTGTACCAGTTTGTATACAGCCTCCAGGCATTAAGCATCCAACATCACTCTAAATATTTCTGAAAAAGCCTGGATTGTTCTGTCAAGCTGTTTAATTATATTCTTTTATTGTGTTTCAAAAATGAGTGAAAAAATAACTATGAAAATAAACTTGATGTGCATAGTCAAATTAATTTTGAAAAGACTCATAATGTTTTCTGTGGTCTTCTGGGTAAATGAGGTGTGGAACTGTGGTTTATTCTACAGGTTTAAGAATTAGAAAATTGAGAAATTGAAAAGGAGAGATATGAGGAGCAGGGAGAAAGATGGGGTGGGGGGAGGAAATTATTTATTTTGCATGGTTATAGTGCCACCTTGTGTTCTGATGGTTCTGGTATTTCAAAATGACCACATACTGTATTGCAAATTTCAGTGATTTAGTGTTTAAAGCAATATTGTTTGTAATGCACTTGTAGAAGTTTATTTGTTAACTTTACTGAAAATATTCAGCTTAACTATTAGATCACTAGTGGATTACTAAATTGTATACTGATTTCAAACCTACAGAATGTCTAACTGGTATCGAGCATGTTTGAGAACTGACCAGCTTGCCACAGAACCTGTATGGTAAGTGTTCAGTTAATTTTTTGGGACAGACATGTCCTTCAGCATTCAAATTATTAAAATTAAAATTATATGGATTTTAATAATGGAGAATGATTGCCGTCTTGAGTGGCTTTACTGCAGTAAACATCAAGCTCTAACACCTCCTCATACAAGTACACAGAAGAGAGAGGTCTGGTAGAATCAGAACTACTGGTTTTGCTTTGTCTTTGTGACAAGCTTTGCACTCACAGTATCAGTTCAGTTTATCTGTCATATGCACAAGTGCAATGAAATGCTTATTTGCCTGTGTGTGACTATACAAATTAAAGGAATCTCCAAAAACATAACACAGAACAGCAGCAGCAACTGCAAGTTAAATAATTTACAGTATAGGGCTGTGATAGGTAAAACCCAGTGATGTTGTGTGTTGTGATCACATGAATCCCTACCCGCCATGACTAACAACAGCACAAAGAAAAGAGCATGAATGGGTTTCAGATTATTGCCTGTATACTTGCATCAGGGTAATAATCAGAACTGTACAGTATATGTACAACAACAGGGAAAGGTTGAATATTTTATTTGCTACCCCAGTTGTTTGGTATTGACCCAGTACTGTATGTCCATGCTGTATTTTATATACTGAAGTGTGACATATATAATGCTAGATATAGATTTATACATTTTCACATCAGCTGGATTGAATGAGCCATAGAATTTTTGAACAACATTCAAAATTTAGATAGCTGATTGTGTTTGTATTATTGGGGCTAAGCAGTTTTGCTTATGAGGGAAGAAGGTGGGCTTCATTCTACAATACACTCACTGTAAGAAATATTAATGGAAACACTCAGTTAAACTTCCAGTTACCACACTTACAATTGAAGGGTGACATATTACACTGTCACATGGAGTTTTCAGACAAGGTAATGAGGAAAAAGACAAAACATCACTTGAGGTAAAGTGTGTTTTTTAAATCTATACAACACATATCAAAAGGGCCTCAAAATTAAGTTAAACATTAGTTAAGTTGCTGTTCAATAGCACATTGGCAGATGGAAGAAGCAGCCTAATTCCTTGCACTTGCAGTATTCTGAGATCTTTTGCACATGACTCTTCATTTTGATGGATGATATACTCGACCCTATCATGCAGGTGGTATCGACTGTCTATAGGATGAACTGTCTTACAAGGGCACTAGACCTCACACCTACTGTGCAGAACATGTGTAAGACATGATGAATTGTGCATTTTCCATCCTAATTGTACTGCCAAGGATCCTAGATCAGCTCCAGATTGTTCCAGAGTACAGACATATCTCTCGACACAAGCTCTGAAATTGCTGTGAAAAGACAAAGTGTCATTGATGAAAAAAAATGTGACTACTGAAGACACTTACATTCATTTGACTCTTGCATGAATCTGTTAATCTTGTCTTTGACAGGCAGTACTGGAGAATTCGTGGCCACGTACGATGTCATAGTACTTCCTAATTTTAATTTGTTCATTTGTGTAAATACTATACATTTACACAACCTGTTTCATTTATATACTGCAGTGGTTACTTCAAAATACCAAGCTAATGTTACGGAGCTCTTATATTTAGGAGGGACTTTGTTTATAAACATTTTTACCAGTAGATGGTGCTGTAGTTTTATTTGGATTAATTGAATCTAAGTGTGTATAGTATTTTTAGTTTTTTCTTTTGAAGTTTGAAAGCTCCATATTTCAATTTGATACTTAACGTTTAAACTAAAACTAAATTGACTAGGAAGCTGTTTAGGTAAGAGTATATATTAAATATACTAGGGTGGAATAACCTTTTACAGTATACGATAGACGTTTTAGTAAAATATTTTAAGACAAAACAGTTTCGCGTTGTGTCCAGATTGTTCAATGGTTAAAATCGTATTTTTTTCCTCTGTATCTTCTATACAACAAAAACACAAGTCAAATGTGTGAATTAATGCTTTTGGTCTTCAAGCAGTCGTAGTTTCTTTGAAAACGTTATGGAACTTTTTTTTCCCCCTGTAGTAAATGTTGTGAAATGGGGATTTGCTGACAAATACAGTAGTCTAGTTTAAATGCGGCTTTTGGAGTTTGTACGTAATGTAAATTTATTTTAGAGTTAATTCTAAATAAACAGATACTTTGTATGAGAAATATTAAGGGCCTGGTGCTACAGTATGTCAACATTTAAAGCCCGAGGCTCAGTACAGAAAGCACTGAGGTATCATTTGTTTTGTGGAATTTAACGGTACGACTAGCTACAGGCAAATGATTTTCACAATAGACTTTGACACTATTTTTTTACAGAAATTGTTAAATTGTTGAGCAGAGCAGTCATATATTTTAGACTTTATTACCGAAGGCGTTTTTTTAAAGGTGTATTGAGAACAGTGATAAATCCGCCGGTGACATCGCCTTAAAAATATTAGATTTACAAAGACCGCAGAAGATGGCTTAGAAAGCACTGTATTTACTGATAAGAGAAAGGTTTGCCCTAGTGGGTATTTTCTGTGCAGCAGTGAAGTCTTTTTTGTCATGTCTAAGAGATTAAAATAATAAAATAGTTCAGATAGAGGTGATTACAACATTAGTTTTTGGATTGTTCTTGGGTCTGCATTTTTTGCCGAAAAACAAACAAACAAACAAACAAACACAGTATAGATTGTGTTCTGTGTTATTTCGACATAACCAGACTCTGTATAAGGGAGATGAAGATGGTTAACAGCTGCATCATTCTGCAAGCTGGTTATAATTTATGTGCTTTGGCTGGGATTCCATAAATTGAATGAGTAATGTTCATTATTATAGTTTCCACTTTTAGCTTAACAGTAAGCAGTAGTCTCCTGTTCTCTCTCTTCCAATTCAATAGTAAACATCTTAAAATATAACTTTTTTATAAAATGTAAATTGATATGATTGAAATTGTTAATGTTTGCATCTTCATCCAGTTTCCCCAACTAGGAAAGATTTATTTACTTAATATTTTTAAACAACCAGGATTTAAATAAGAAAACAGACATGATAGAACCGCTGTGAAATTGTGACCATAATATGGTATCTTTTGATGTTTCCTTTCAATCTCTGAACTGTGAATCAGACATCAACGTTTATAATTTTAGAAAGTAGATTATGGAGGAATGCTGCAGAATTTACAGGGGTGAATTGGGAACAGAGGGATAGAAACACAATAGAAGAAGGGTGTTCATGCTTCAGAAACATTATGTTAAAGCCACAAAATGAATTACTCCTAAAACAATGAAGTCCACATTAAGAGATACTGTATTAAGAAAAACATTTGAATAAAGAAAGTGCCTTACAGTCTCTGCAAAACACCCCAACATTCAAAGATAGAAAAAGAGTACCCTACATTGAGCTACAGGCAAAGATAAAAAAAAAACAGATAGATTTTCAATGGCGGAGACAGAAAAGAATGTTGAATTAGAGGCTAAAAATGTTTGCATATATATTATTTTCAATATTACAACAGTAAAAAAAACTGTAAGAGTGGAAGATGTGATAAAAGGATACTAATAAAAGAAGGTGAAAAATATAGTAAGCATGAAAAATAAACAAAAAAATTTATGGAAGATATGTATAATGCCAATGACATGCCCAATGTTATAGAAAAAGAATCATTAGTACTGGGTAATTTTAGCATAGCTGACACTGAGATTCTACAGGGGGGTAGGGTGGCTAAACACCATAAATCACTATGCCATGATGGTATTTTACCAGTTATAATTAAGGAAGGAAAGGAGGGGTGTTATTCATAGGTACATCACTATGATATTTCTACTCTAAATTAGAATGGGACCAGTACCCTCCAATTGGAGAACCACAAGTGTAATCTCAGTTTATAAAAAGGTGGACAGAGACTGAACAAGAAAAAGATACAGTAGATCAAGCAATCTTTATTCTTTTCCAAGTAAAAGTTGAAAATCATAGTTAAACATGTAAACTGGAACTTAATTAGAAGAGAACAGTTAAAGAACAGTGGCATTTTAAGAGACAGCCACCATGGATTGAGGTCCTGTTAAACTAACCTGACAGAATTATTCAAACAGGCAACAAGGACTGTAGATAAAAAGTAAAGCGTATGACATGATGGCAGGGCAGGCTCCCACTTGTCACCCGCAGTCTGAAACACATGCTTTTCCACCTACACAACCTTTTTTAAGATGTGGTGTTTTAGCTGACCCATAGCTGTATGAACCTCTGGAACCCAGTGAAGCTCGGGGAAAGTTGTATTCAAACCATAGCCAGTGACCACATACTGTACCTGTAAACCATTTTCTCTTTTCTTAACCTTGGACCACTAACCACTTTCCCACCTCTACGGGATGATTGATAAACCTGTTTCCCCTCCTGAGAGAATCTCTCAGCATCTGACAACCAATGACTAGGAATGGTCCCAGGCTATCATTTCTCTCATAACCTAAGGACTAACAGAACAAATCACTAGGGACCTCAGCACCCAAAACCAGCAGACGTGTGCCAGGTGGATTTCTCGCAGCTGCATCTATTATAAAAAGAAGATTAATGCCAAACAAGAGGGCCTCCTTTCCACAGTCGACCACGGGGTCTGGAGGCCCAGAAACCCAAACCTTATCCAGGATTTGTAACCATAACAGAAACAGTCTCCTGATCTTCCCTTACATAAACCCACTGTGCATACCTGCTCCTTGGAGAGTCCTCTCTGTGCACGGGCTCAAGGAGCCATCAGGAGAGCTAAACGTGCTTCTTGTCTAACCTAGCCACCCACATCTAAAAGCTATCCTGTCTCCCCTCCGCTACTAAGAGATTAATCTCAGCCATAAACTCTTACAAAGAGATGGTTGGTAACCAGGCAGTTCTAATCACAAGCCCCTGTCAACCTCCTTAAAGAGGCTGCTAACTTGCAACAGCTGCAGCAGAGTGCTCAAACACATGATAGTGCCTGCCCTGAACGAGTATGCACATTCCCACTACCCATGTTTCTTAAAATACCTTAAAACCCAGACCGGAAAGATGTA